GGGCGGTTTAAAACAAGGAACAACCACAGGACTGTCAGCAGGGCGCCCTGCGAGGTGCAGCAGCCGCCGGAGCTGCGAGGGGAATCTAAAGGCATGCTCTCGGCGTGTCAGAAACCAATAGAAAGCTCACCGCACAGTCACCGATGATTTATTGGACTGTAATTGGTTATAAAAAAAAAAAATCTTGTAAGTGGCTGTAACCAGGCCTCCAGGCTTCGCTTCCCCTGACGTCCGACGTCAGCCTCACCGGAACTAGCGCTCCGGACAATCGCCCCTAAGCAACCTTTCCTCGCGGAGTGGGGAGTGGGGAATAAGACTCGTCGTTTGTCTCAGGGTACCCAGGACCCCCTTCCGTATAAGCCAGGGGTTCTCAACCTTGGCAACTTTAAGACTTTGCTGGCTGAGGAATTCTGGGAGTTGAAGTCCACAAGTCTTAAAGTTGCCAAGGTTGAGAACCCCTGGTATAAGCCAAGCTTTCGTTCACTTCAGCGGTGCGCCTGGGCCTGAGAGAGAGAGAGGTTGGCACAGACCTTGTTTTAGACAAAAGGTCGTATTTGGGGCGGTTCGCCAACTTTTATCTGCAGGAAAGAAAGAATTTGACGGAAGAGTATTCCGGCAAGGCGGAATATTGGACCCCCCACCCCACCCCCCCCAAGGCGGGTAGAGCCAAAGTGGGAGACCACCACACCAAAGCGGACGATGCTCCTTAGTTGTCCTGGATTACAACCCCCATCGTCCGTAGGCAGGAGTGACGAATGCCAGCCACGGTCGACCAAGAACTAGAGAGACTCCGACTGGAAAGCTAATTCAGGGCTCCTCGCCAGGTGAGACAACCAGGCGGGGGAAGTTCTCTGGCCGGCAAATCTCGGGAAGCTTTCTGCGCACAAACCTCACGGGTGTTTGTTACTGGGGTTCTCAACCTTGGCAACTTTAAGACTTGTGGACTTCAACTCCCAGAATTCCTCAGCCAGCTTTGCTGGCTGAGGATTTCTGGGAGTTGAAGTCCACAAGTCTTAAAGTTGTCAAGGTTGAGAACCCCTGAAATTTCTAGGAAAAGCAGCCCAAACCCACCCGTTTTGGAGGACTCCTTTCAGCGGATGCTGCTATTGGCTTCATCTCGAGGTTGGTTCTGGAGGAAGGTGTCTCTTGCTTCGCTCGAATTTCTACGTGCTGCACGCCTTGAACTTTGCAGAGAGAGCAAGTTCCACATTTTATTCATGTTTCTTTAGTTAAATGTTTAGGAGGACGGGATCGAGGAGGCATTTTGATCACGCGCCTGCACGCAAATGAACCTTCTATTCAAGCAATTCTGCCCATCTCTGTGTGCGTTTGTGTGTGCACGCATACGCACTCCTATATAATGTAAGGACAGAATATTAGTCAGAATCCCGAGCTTATTGGAACTATACAGAGTAACCGATTCTCCCAGTTTTAGGGCGCTTTCAAAAATACGGCCTACATGCATGTGGGATAAATATTCTGATCTTTCCTTTCATTTTCGCCATTAAAAGATACTGAACCCGCATGCAGGGAAACAAACAACGTTGGCTGCAAAAACTAGGGTGGGAAATCAACTTAACTTGCTTAGAAATAAATTCAAATCAGAATTGGAAGATGAGGAATTCTTTTTCGGGTAGTCCCATGCAGATTTATATGCTGTGGATTGTCAAGGAACCTTCTTTTAAAACATGGCTCGAGGTTCTGTGCAAAAGAATCGATCCCAGTTCTCATTGGAATCCAACTCTTAGATACGGATACTGTGATTAATATTAAATCTGCATCGGACTACCCGAAAAAGAATTCCTCATCTTCCAATTCTGATCTGAATTTATTTTTAAGCAAGTCAAGTTGATTTCCCACCCTGGTTTGCAGTCAACACTGTTTTGTTTCCCTGCACGCGGGTTTAGTATCTTTTAAGGCCGAAAATGAAAGGAAAGATCCGAATATTTATCCCACATCCACAAGATTTTAGCTCTCGCCCTATCCCAGTTCTAGAATCATTCAAAAGTCTCTCTAGTTTCCCACGGCGAAAAGCACATCTGGAGAAGTCGGGGCGGGACAACTGAAACGAAGCAGGGGGCCTCTGAAAATGGTTTCACGTATCTCTGCGGCAGTGCCCCGGGTCCAAACATCGTAAGTGAGAAACCGTTTAGGCCCGTCCTGCTCCCGGGTTCGATCCTTGCTCCCGGAAGGATAATAGGCGCTATCTGTCAAAATCTCGACAGATTGCCACGTTCTCGGCAGCCCTTGTAGCGCCTCGCACCGAGGTTTCTTTCAGGCTTCTTCAGCCTGCTCCCACCCTGTCACCTCCCGTCGCTTCTGGACCCTGCGAAACTGCCCAAATTCCATTGGCCTAAAAATATATGGACTCTGTAGTCCGGTGTCTTGAATGACAAACGACCGGAGGGAGAACAGCCTCGTCCTGCCTGTTTTCCATGTCTACCGTTGTTCTTCCGGCTCTCGTTCAGCTCCGGAGGGGCCACTACACTTTCCAGAGCAAACGGTTGTCTATTATAGCAACAGGCACTTGGGAAAAGAAAGCGAATTTCTAGGGGAGCCTGCTAAGATTCCCCGAGCTTTGTTTAGGAGGTGCCTGTGAAGACTGGCCTGTACTTAAAACGCGGAATTGTAATAGCACGAGCTCTTGAAGTGCTTTGTGCCCCGTGAAACCTCCTGAACGCGCCCTGCTGAGACCGAGGGGGCCTTAGACGAAGCTGAAAGTCGCCACTTGCCCCCTTAGTGCTGGACCCTTTCGAAGCCCCGGAAGATGTTCTCTCCGTTGCCACGGAATAGCTTTGCTGGGAAGGGCACTCTCCGTGCATTTTTGTTGGCTTGGACAAGATGCCCTGCCGATAGCTGACTTCAGTTTGGCATTTTTTATTTTTATTTTAAAGAAGGGGCTGGAAACGGCCAGCCGAGTAAGCCAATTCCAAAGCCACTGACGGAGCTGAAAGGGTTGGAGGAAGTCGACAGATCCAAGCTGATCCGGGATTGTTGGGCGAACTAGCGGACGTCTTGGAGCATCAGATGCAGCTAGAATCGAAAGAGAATCTCCACCCGTTTCCTCGCCCGCCCCCCCCCCGGGCAGGTAACGCTGCACCGGGGCTGGCCGAGGGGTCCAAAAGAATCACAAAGCGATCCATGGGCCTTTCCCTATGGATAGCCTTGGGAATATTCAACTCTGGGAAAGGCGGGATCCTATTCCTCGTTTCCGTGCTTGTCTCTAACCGGCGCTCGTAGATTCTGTAGTGTGGAAGTTGCAGTGCTCATTCAAATTCCAAACAAACAAATCAAACTTTCTTTTGCAGATTGTTCTCTGCTCCTCTCTCCCGTCTTTTTTTTTTTTTTTTTTTTGCTAAATTTGTGGCCGATCAGGCAGCTTAGCCTAAGAATGGGGTCCGTATAAACGGCAAAAAGAGCGAACTTCGCATTCGCCCCTCTGTGAAGCGGCGCTCTCTGTAAGCTCAGCCACCTATTTGCCCTGAAGAATCAGAAGCAGCTTGGTTTCAGTGGGAGTTGTGATTTCCAGGCCGGTGTGAAAAACTTTGCAATTACAATTGCCCTGTGAAGCTTTCCGACGAAATGCCGCTCGAGGCTTCTCGAGCAATAAATAGAAAGGGGGGGGGCACTTCCTCAGAAATAATCGTAGGATTAGGACTCGTTATAGAAGAAATAAAGCACAAATACTCTTAATAGAGACATCCTTCCAGTTCCTCGCACTCATTTTATGTCAAGGCATTTTCTCCCCCCCCCTTCTCTTTTTTCCCATTTCATCACCCACATACACACCTTTGAAATCAATGGCTCAACAAACGGCGACAATATGTAAAGAAATCCAAATGGAAATTAATGTATATTTTCACTGAGTTCAACTGTCTTGAATGACAAAACACAAACGCACACACACGGTTGATGGACTTGGGTATGTCCAGCTTAACGAAGAGAAGGACGAGGGGGGACATGAGAGCAGTGTTCCAATATCTCAGGGGCTGCCACAAAGAAGAGGGAGTCAAGCTATTCTCCAAAGCGCCTGAAGGCAGGACAAGAAGCAACGGGTGGAAACTAATCAAGGAGAGAAGCAACCTAGAACTAAGGAGAAACTTCCTGACAGTGAGAACAATTAACCAGTGGAACAACCTGCCTCCAGAAGCGGCGAATGCTCCAACACTGGAAGTTTTTAAGAAGAGACTGGACAGCCATTTGTCCGAAACGGTATAGGGTTTCCTGCCTGAGCAGGGGGTTGGACTAGATGACCTCCAAGGTCCCTCCCAACTTTATTATTATTACACCCACGAGTCTATCCGAAACTTTCAAACCTGGAATGGTAGTTTGGATGGAGCCCCTCCAGGTATGGGAATAAAGGTGGAGTCGAGACCAGAGCCCCTTCGCCCAACCCCTCCCAGGAAGAAAGGCTGGCCAGGAGTTGCGAGGCATTCGGGCAGGAGCTCTTTCTTTTAAGTGGGCCGGGTGGGCATGAAGGAAGCTGGGCGCTCAAAGCAAACACGTGCACGCGTCACGCACCAAACGATCGAACTCTGACTGCGGCGACGGTCAGCCTTGCCGCATCCTCGATTCCCTGCCAAGCAGGTTCTGGAGAGTTGACTTTTTTTCTCTCTCTTTATCGGGGAGAACCGGGACAGCAGGGCTCGTGTCGCCCAAAGAAAGCAGGCGGTCGACCGGCGCTTTTTATTTTAAAGCCACGGACCCCGAAGCCGATCAACACCGCCGCGCTAGTGGAAGCGCCGGGTCTCGTAACTCTGGAATCGGTCAGCTCAGCCCCCGCCGGCTCTCTTCGCCTTCTCCCCTTCGCCTTTGGAGGCCGGGAGCGCCCTGGCCCCAGGGGATCGGAGCTGGTGCAGAGGGCCCTGGCCGCTGCCTCCCTTCCCGGGCCGAGAGGCAAAAGGCCAGGCGGGCTCCCGGCACTTCTCCTCGGAACGCCTCACCTTCCCTCTCTCTCCCCCCCACCCCCCCACCCAGCCTGCCAGCCCTTTCCGCCTTACCGGGTCCCCCCGCCGTGGGTTTCCTCATCCAGTCGCAGAAGTTCCGCAGCTGGCCGCCAGGGGAGAGAGGATCCGAACCGAGCGGCGGGTGGAGAGGCTGCATCAGCCCCGCCGAAGGGGGGACCCCGCAGGGGGGCGCCGGAGGTCCCTGGGAGGGGTGGTGCGGGTGCGGGAGGTAGTCTCCGGCGGGGCCGTAGGCCAAGCCGGTCGGGCTGGGTCCGTGCAAGGCGCCGGCGGTCGCCGTCCCCGGGGCGCCCGCCTGCCCATAGCCGTTCCAGTCGTCTCGCAGGGGCGTGCCGTAGGCGGCCGGCCAGGGCGAGCCCGGCGACTGAGCGTTGTCCAGTCCGATCCCGGCGGGCACATGGTAGGCGCCGTAGTCCGGGTACTGCGGGGAGCCCAGGAAGTTTTGCGCGGCGGTCAAGTTGAGCCCCCCCGCGTGGCGCACCGAGCCGGGGTACATGGAGGGGCTCTCTTTCTCCAGCAGGTAGCTCACGTACATGGTGGTCCGAGGCGAGCGGCGCTTCTCTGCATGCTGCTGCGGGAAGAGTCGGGGGAAGGGGGCGGACCGGCGATGGGGACCGGCTGAGCCGAACTGGGCTGCGGCTGCGGCTGCCCCGGCCTTAGGGCTGCGGCTTCCTCGGAGCGCAAAGACGCGGCGCGCCGGCTTCGGAGGCTCAGGCAACCGGCACCGTCGGGAGCTGCGGAGGATGAGCGATTCTTGAGGCGGCTCTCTTGGAAATGGCCAGGCCAGGCCCACGACCCGAGGCAGGTGACGTGGAGAGAGGGAGGAGGGAGGGAGGGGAAAAGGGAGCCGAGAGACAGAGAAAGAGAGAGGGGGGGGGCAGGCGGGCAGGCACCGGGGCCGCCGCGCTGCTCCTCGCCCCCCAAGGAAGATTTGCATTTAAAAGGATAAGCGAGAGGGCAGCGACCCGACCACAATAACATAGCCAAGCATTTATTGTTTAAGAGCTTCCTTCTTCCATTGCAACCTGGTGCACTTTAACCTCCAATCACAGGTTCAAAGGACTGAATCCGAAGGACTTGCAAAAGAGAAAGCAGCTGGGGGGGGGGGCGGCGGCAGGGGGGGTCAGTTAAGGAAGGATAAGGTGGGAATGGAAACTCAGTCGGGAGGTCTGAGGAAAAATGAGTGAGGGAGGCGCGCTTGGGTATATCTGTGCGTCTGTGTGGGTGACACTTGCAACCCCCCCAAATAACCAACCCCCCCCCCGAAGATATTGGGGGAGACTGAGGGATTGAGGGAGAGAGAGAAAACCCCAAAAGCCACCAGCTCTGGAAAAGAATTTGAAGAGGGAATCTGATAGACCAGCTAACCCGTATCTCGTTGCTTTCAAGGGAAAGTTTGCCAGCACCTATTCTCCACTTCAAAGGGGGCTTGCTTAGAGCCTTGCGGGGGATTCTTCTCCGCCTCTTAAAAGCACTTCTTCAAATTTTAAAGCCACTTGCTCATTAATAATCATCTGCCAGGCCCCAGTTACAAAAAAATACCCGATAAGTGAATTTCGAACGTTAACAGGCTTATCTTAATTTTTTTAGGGGTTTGTCATTACGCCAAGAAAGTTATTTCTTTTCTCCCCTTATCGGGCTGCCACCCTGAACGCCTGTAAGAAAGTCCTTGGACGGCAAGAAAAACTGAAGCTCGGTTCTAGTGCCTGGAAAATGGGGAAATGGTTTCCACCTTAGGGCAGAGCTGATTTATCCGCAGAACCGGGCGAGGTTGCCGTGCGCGCGCGCGCGTGTAGCTGTCCCTGTCTCTCACGCACCTCTTTGCACGGTGCCCGAGACAAGGTGAAAAAGTTAAAAGCAACCAGTGAATCTGGTTAGGCGCTGGCCGGAGGGGGGGGGGGGGAGAGAGAGAGAGAGAGAGAAGAAAAGGAGGAGGGAGTTTGGCGCATCTTCAAAGGGCAAAGCCGGTCTGCTCCAGGAAGCCCTGCAGGGCGAAAGAGCATTCTCATATCAAAGTCACATTTTGTATCTCCTTTGCGGAGACGCGGCGATTTGGATTTCACGACCAGGTCACCGAGTTAACCAAATCCATCAGGAAAGAGAAACACCTGGTAGCCAGTCCACAGGGCGCTCCTCCGCGCTGTGCTAAGGGAAGGGACCACACTCCCTTTCCCGGCTTTTAACTTGGTTTGCGCATGGGAATGGCTTGGGAAGCACAGTTTCTGTTTTATTGGACATTGTTCCATATATTTCTTTTCTTTCATTAAAAAATTGAAAATGATGTTGGTCTGTGCTCTACTTTAAGCTATTAAAACCAGCCAACCTGTTGCTTTGGATAATGAGATGAGCAGCATGCAACTTTAATAAATGAATGCATAAAGAAACCTCTATTTGCAGAGCAAATAGTCAGATAAACTGACCAGTTGCCCTTTTTTTTTGTTCTTTAATTTCTCTTCCTTCCCCCCCCCCCATTTTCTTACTCTTCGGTCTAACTGACAGAAGATCAAGAATGTGTATCAACTATATCTCGTAATTTTAAGTTTAGATGGGTTTGGAGAAGAAGAAATTTTCTAAGAGTCACCTAGATGAATTGGGTGGTGGAGAAATTTAATTAATTAATTAAAGAGGTTTATCAAATTTTGTTTGATGGGGAGGGAAAATATGTAAAACAACTATATTGCTTTATTGTGTATCAATGAATATGCTTCCACTGGATATCAGTGGGGAAACAACACATCCACATGCATGTTGAATAGTTCAGTATAAGGGGCAAAAATATTAATGGGGGACAGTTTCAAACAAAAGTTTTTCATGGTAACTCTGAATGAGTTTTAAGTTGAAAAGTGAAGTGGAAGTATTTATTATTGGATTACTTACTAATTTTATACACTGTGCAAGGCAATCGAGATACGTCTTTTGATTATTTAATGATAAAGATGATGATGATAATGATGATTTATGGGAATGGCAGAAGAATTTTCTTTTCTCATAAATTACATGTCAGAATAGTACACTTATTGATTTTTGCAGCAGTGTTTCTCCCCCCACTTTTTTTTTTTTTTTGCTTCAAATGGCCCAGTACTGGCCCAGAAAGGCCACCATCCAAATGTCTTTAAAGTATAATAAGTAATATTGAAAATCAATATTAATATTTAATCAATATTAACTATTGATTGAACAAGGAGCATCTTCTCAGCTTTGATTTTTGGGTTTGTTTTTTTTCCTATATAACCCCAAGCTGGACCCAACAATAGTCTTCCTTTCAGGTCAAATAAAGGCTACCTGCAATTTTTAAACAAACATACTGAGAACAACAAAAGCCTCTGTGCCAGGCAGCCCCTACAGGTTTTAAGAGGGTTGCTCTGATGAACAGTTGCTTGAACGAAGAAAGCTGGGAGCCACTTTTATTTCAATGAAGAATCATTTGATGCCAGATGCCAAAGAGGGCAGCTGGAGATACCAAAGGAACTTGGTTACAAGACCTGCTGGTCACTAAGCACAGACCTTAGATTGCTTTTTTTTTCCTTTTTCTATTGTTCCTTCTCTGAACTTCTTTTCTTTTTAAGTAATAATAAGATACATTCCATAAGATAAAGCAAAATTGGGTTGGGGAAACTATAACAATGTTTGAAAAACTCACTGTTTAGAGCAGTGTTCTTAACCTTTTTGAACGAATCGCCCCCTTGAGCCAATGAGAAAGTTGTCATCGCCCCCCTCCCCCAACATAACCTCTCAATCGCAACATAGGAAATAATTCTTCAATTTATGCAAGCCCTTGTTTTGTTTTCTTTAAAATTGTCATCAGGACATATCGATGCAAATAATTTATTTCCAGTCTTTTCCCCATATCTCCCATATTCTGGCCAATGGCACGCCACTGTATGGGTAGAGGCTGCTGTGCAACATGCATGAAGATAAGCGATGCATATTCACATATGTACGCCGTTCTGTACTGAAGCTAGCTGGAGGAACATTTGAAAACACAATTCAATCCACTAATAGCGAGCAATCTGACGTTTTTGTACAACAGATATACAGCGATTCACTGTACAAAAAAGTCTCAAAAGTGTCCCCAAAACTCCTTGCTCGATTGCCCCCATATCACCCCCTTTTGATTCCTTTGCCCCCACGTCGCCCCTTTTCATTCCATCGCCCCCCTGAAAAATGAAATCACCCCCTGGGGGGCGCGATATCGCCCAGGTTAAGAACCACTGGTCTAGAGCAGTGGTTCTCAACCTTTTTAATGCCGCGACCCCCAACCAGTCGTAAGTCAAGGACTACTCAACCGGTCGTAAGTCAAGGACTAAGCCGGCGTAAGTCGAGGACTTTCCCTGCCCAGGAGCACCGCACATGCGTGGTGCCGCCCCCTGCGCCGGCCAAGGTGTAGCTGGCAGAGACGGAGCAGGCCGACCACCGGCTGCGCCACCAGCTGGCCCAGCCCAAAGGAGGTAAGGCACCCACTGGGCCGCACGCATGCCAGCAACCCTCCCTGCGCCCGCCGGCCTCCCACCTCCCACCCCTGGCCCTCTTTTACTTACATTTTTAGTAGTTGCTCAGCAGGGAGGGGTGGAAACTTCCAGACAGCTCACCTTCGCTGCAGACAACTTGCAGCAACGTTTGCAGACTGGGGCTTTTGGCAGGCTCAGCAGGGCAGAGACAGCCTGGACAATTCCTATTCAAGAGTCTATTCTATTGGCTTTCAAAAGCCAATAGAATAAAAGGGAGTAGCACAGCTAAGGAAAAGAGGGAAAAAAATGGCGGACTGCCTTGTTTGGCGACCGCCATGAAATGGTCGTTCGACCCCAAATGGGGTTGCGACCCACAGGTTGAGAACTGCTGGTCTAGAGCAGGGCTTTTCAACCTTTTCACCCATTGTACCACTTTTAGGATATGGCAACATCTGAGTACCACCAGTCACCTAGCAAGGTGTCAAAAACTTGATGACCAAAAAAAAAAAAAAAGGAAAAAAGTGATAAAGTACAGGTAGTCCTCGAGTTACAACAGTTCGCTTAGTGACTGTTCGAAGTTACAATGGCACTGAAAAAAGTGCCCCCCAAGGCACAACCGAGCAAGATACCTGCCTGCCCGCCCGCCCGCGCTCCTCCTCCTGTCCTAGGTTTTTATTGTTGTGAGCATTTCTGTTGAGGATTGGCAGCGGGGGTGGGGTGGGGAGGTGTTTGGTTTTTATTCCCCCCATCTGCTGGGTGGTTGCAGCAGGTTTTGGTTACTTCATATGACCCTGGGGGACTGTGGCCATCATAAAAATGAATCAGTTGCCAAGCATCTGAATGTAAATCACAAGACCCTGGAGATGCTGCAACATTCCAGCTGATTGGTGCTTCTACAGGGCTCAGCAGAAGCACCAGGATGAGCGCCGAGCTCCAGTTGGAAAGTGGCACTGATCCTGGCACTTCCACTGAGCCCTGACAGCCCTGCAGCTCCAGCCATCTCTCGCTCAGGCTTGTGCTGTGCTGCCACCGATTCAGCTCACTCCCCTCCCCTGCTACCACTTTTCTAGGATGGTTGTGTACCACCTGCAAGGTGCCAATGTACCACAGGTGGTACTCATATCGCTGGTTGAAAAGCCCTGGTCTAGAGCACTACCTCAAGCCTAGTGCTCTGTAGTTATGTAGGAATACAGGTCCTGTTATCCTTTGTCAGCCATCTGGAGGGCAGTGGCTTGAGGAAGGAATTTGGGAATATGGACCCAGGGTTTGGGAAAGCAAGGTTGGTCCATCAGTACTGCCTGTGTTCAGACATGCTTGATCATGATAAATAGAGGTTAAGGCACAACCCAGACAGAATACACCTAGTGCTGGATTTCTACAGCCAACATTCTGGTTGCATGAACCCAACTAGTGGGAGCCACTTGATTTGTAATGGGTGACTTCCTGGCTTCCAGAAGCTGCCACTCAAAGGCTGAGTTTAATTTGCTACAGCTTTCCTTGCTGCTCTGAGACTGCATTCTCACAGTGTGTTTTGCTTATTGACAAATGATGTTTTTTCTGGCTTCAG